CTTATGGGATCTTACTCGGTCATAATCATGTATCAATCCGGTTAAGACTTTTTTGAATGGTTAAGTGATGATTTGAAAATAGTAAACCAATTAAAACCGTCGGTGTGGATAAATATGCTTGAAACTTCGATTTGGTGGGTAAATATAGATTTAACTTTAAAACGANAGAGATATATGCATAGAACTTTTGTTTCAGGGAGATCTATAAAGAGGTAAATTTTGGGCTCTATATACGCATATGTCATAGTTTTTGTGGGAAAATAGACAGTTTTTCCCATTTTTCCTTTGAGTTTGAACAATAAAACTCAAATATTTAAGGGCCAGCGGCATCACATATTGTGAAGGAAATGTTAAAGGATTGAGTTAGTTCATTTATCAGATTGATGGCGTAAACAAATAGAAACAAAATCAAAGCAAAGGAAACTATTGGAACCATATTCAATCAAACAGACTTATCCTACCTCATATTGGTATGTTGTGGCTAGGATGTTGGTAACTGTTATGATGTTATTGTTGGTTACTGGTTTTAGGCAGTATTTTTATACATGATCCAATCCTTGCTTCCTCACTAGGAATACAACAGGGCAGTTATAATTAGGGTTCTCTGGAAATGGTTAGTCAATAGATAAACACAACTCAGGTTTTAGGTAAATTATAAAGAACGTTTAATGATAAGCACACAACAACTCCTTTGATCTCATGAAAAAGTATTACTACCAATTTCTTTCAGAAAAAGCAAATATCAGGAAATAATAGAATGAAAATGGTATGAGGGGTGTAAACAAATTCAGAGCGGAAGTGAAGCAAGGGAACCTTAGAAATATAATGAAAATGGTATGGGACTCAAATTTTAGAAAATAAGCACCAAACCATGGTTCGAAGCCATTAAATCCTATGTGGCACTATAGATTTAAAGAAAGAGAAGAAACTGTAAGAAACCATGTTTGAGAACTATGACGATAAGAAAGCATAGTTCGACTCCCAAGTCTCATGATCTCTTACCAAACAAAATTTGATCATTTCCAACTATTTCACATGCATTTAAAACTTATAAATCTTGAATTTCACTTTTTGTCGGGGGAAAAAACTCTTGAATTTGACAAGGCACGGAAATTAAGTAAGGAAGATCGTAACAATCAACTACAAATCAGTTGGTGATGTCATTTGTTCCAACTACAGTTCCCATATTCGGCTGTTTCTCACTATAGTTCACGAGTTTGCTTAATATTCATTCTTGCCATAGATGCATAAAATGAAACTCAAAAACAAATATACAACACTAAAAGAGTAAATCATTGTGGTTTATCATTGCGAGAATTACTGATAAAAGATTGAGTTTTATAGATAAGTTTTTGGTTATCTTAGATCCATATCTTCTTTTGTATATCATGTGCAGCTCTAAGAAGTTTTAATATGTAGTATAGTTTAATTGAGCAGACAAAATAACTGACAAAAGATTTCTAGAGAAGGAGACCAACTCAACAATGTTAACTTTACAGATAAGTTTCATGTTCTTGTTCGACATCGAATGAGAATGAATATGATTAGATAACTTACAATTAAAAGAACCATTCCTCTATATATTCACCACTCTCCCAACTTAGCCAAATGAATTGTTTCTTCTGACCTGATTCCACCAGAGCAAGAAATTTAATAATTAAAGTAGAATAAAAATAAAACATAAGCAAATCCTATACTTGAGTCGATAATTTCAAATTTGAGCAGGAAAATGAATTATAGAATCACTAAAACCTTAATATGATATAGGTTAAAAGGAGAATGAAGAGAGTAATGCGAAGAGAGCCACAAGTTAAACCAATCAGCTATAGAATACAAGAAAACAAACTATCAAGGGAAGGAACAGGAGTGAAAGAATTTATAAAAACTCACTTACCAAACAATTACTCATAACTGGATCGAGATTGGTTGAACATAAGTTTATATTTCGATGAAAATATGCTATCGTGTCATTAAATTCATGTTAGCATAGAACACTCTAAAAAGTGGCAATATAAGGTACCAGAGCAAAGATTTGGGAAATGTCCTATCGTGTTTTGGTATTGATATAGAAAAAGAACCTACAAAAGGTCATCCTCTATGGAGTAAAAGAACTAATGCAAAAAAAATTATCTTGATTCCGAGAACAAACAAAATAATGAAAACATATCTACTATATAACAAGCGAATGATGGAAATTTGTATTGAGAATAAATCTACTACATGAAATAAAAAAGCAAGAAAACCTCCAATAGAGCAAAAATTATGACTAAGACATTCGTATTGAGAATAATGAAAAATTCTCATACTTTCACTCATATGTTGTATATTACAAAATTTGCATTGCATTACCTAGAGTGCATGCCGCAAACATCCAACTGCCAAGTTCTTCTCTAGTCTTCTCCAGGATGGCGTGTAAGTATTATGGTTCTACGATGGCCATGAGAGTTAATGTAAATACATATATAAGAAGATTACAAAGGTAGGAAAGACAGATTAATTCATAGAAATAGGACCATTCGAAACCTATACTTCTAAAATGACAATTGAAGATCCGTTGTAGATATAAGATACATGTTGTATTAGTAAGATAAAGAGTTACCGGTTAGGTTAAGTACATGAGTGGATTTTTATGAACCGGAGAAAACAAACAGACATACCCATAGAGTGGTGTGAAAAAAAGACTTTTGAAAATTATCTTGTGCCCCATCTCTGCATCTCACGAAGACTTGTTAACCATACATGATAAAGAAAATTTTACCAATCTTCCCACTAACACAATTTTTTGAAGTGGTTGTAATCACCTTGATGAGATCTATTAAAAAAAACCGATAGTTTCATGAAACAAAGCGACGATACAGTTTCCTAAACAACTGAAGATTTTTTAATGGAAATCGAATGAAAGATATACTCCATCTGTTTGAATGAGATTGTGAGTGAGAAGGAAGGCCTTTGAAATTAGCAGGGTTGGAAATTTTAGAGCGTTTTGACATAATCTTGTAGCCAAACTTTTGCAATTTGAATCCATCGATGGCATACAGATAACAAACTGGGAAAAAATTGGACTTGAAATATCTCTTTTTCTGTGTTATACACAGAAAACGGAAGAGCGTTTAAACCCTAGAAAGGAATATGAAAGGGGCGAAACTGAAAAGCATAAACGAATCACAATTTTTTTACTTTGCCACATGTCAATCTCTCAGCTCACCACGTGTTACAAAACTAGAGAGTGTTGGCCTTCATATGGTAGATACCTTCTTACATAGACTGCGATGTATTAGGACAGTTTCACTTCC